GCCCGAGTTGCTCGTCGTTTCCCCTCTCTTCTTTCATGGCTTCCTCTCCTCACCCGCCACCCTTATTCCGTTCCCTTATTCCGTTCTATAGCCCACGACACAGCCGTGACTCGCGATCACACGCTAGTCATGTACTCGCTGTTTACGGCTGTATCACGGGCTATGCAAACTTCATTTGCAGATGCATCGGTGGTGATTTCTCGTGATTTCGCACTTTTCGACTAAGAAAACTGGCGAGCATCAAGCCTGACTGATATCTGTCTTGAAAATATCTCTCCTCATCATGGCATCAGTTGATATTGCCTTGGTTACTTTAGGCCAGTGAGATGAGAGATGTGTTGGGCCACTGCTGTGCTATCCCTGGCGCTGAGCAACACAGTGCAACACAGTTCTCCATGCGCAGCAGGGCGTTTTTAACTGCATTCACACCCTGAGTGTTGTCTTAGTAGGATGTTGTCATTTCGTGAGAGCAGGTCTTGCCGAAAGAACTACTTCATTCTGCCCCACTTGCCCCACTTGCTCGTCCGAAAGCCAATTCATTTTGCCCCACTTGCCTCACTTGCCCCACGGACAAGTGGAAAGACCCCGCCCCTGCCTCCCCACGTCACCTAGCTTGCAGCGTAGCGGTCGGCGCAGTGTCAGGCAGACTTGTTCTCTCCAATTCTTGAGGTCATTTACGACTTCCTGGCCCCGGAAATTGGGTTCTTTTCCAGATCCTAGCCAAAGCTTGGGGCAATCCCGCATGTGGGGCAAATGGGAGCAAGTGGGTCCTACCGCGTTTCTATTGTATTCACCAAGCTGACTCGGCCAGGGGAAAGAGGTTCTTTACAGGCAGACTTGTGGCTACAAACATGAGGCAAAGCTCGTTCTCGAACACTTTGGCCTCTTTTGCAGAGGGCTCCCCTCTCCTGGGGCAAGTGGGGCAAGCGGGACAAGATCAACTAGCTCATCTGGAAAGGCAAGTGGCACATATTGGTTTCCGCATCTAGGCCAGAGCCAGTGGGGCAAGCGGGGCAAGTGGCAGAAATCAGTCGGCAGTGCCGATTCCTGTGCTCAGTTTGCATTGCCTTTCTGCAGGGCAGTTATGAGTCTTGAAATTCGGTTCAAGAACGTGCCTGTGAGATATGTTTGGGAGTTCAGGTCAGCGACTACTGCACCTCTGCCCTCGGCTCGCCTTCGAGCTTCAAGACCGAGGAAGGCACCTGGATCCTGAATCTCGATGCAGCATAAAGTAGCAACCGTGTTTTTATCCCTCAGGGCTCCGACTCTGCGGGGTTTGTCGTAAGAACTGGTGCCAAGGACCACGTGAAATCAGTCTCTGAAGTTTTTAATCACGGATGCGAGAGTTTCAAGTCTTGGAAGAGCAAACCAGCTTTGTTCTGAAACTATTCTTGCCTGAACTGTACTTTATCAAGGGAGGAACAAACCGAGTTTCAGATAGTGGCAACATATATCTTTTCATCACCCGCCGAGTTCACCTTAAAGCCTTAAAGTGTGTGGTTTGCTCACGGCGACGGGAATCCTTGAGCTCCCTGGCCTGCTTCATCTGCGCAACCGGGTCTTGCGCTGTCATCTCGGCTTGGTGCGCCACATGCTTCCGAAGCTGTCACTTGCTCCTGTGAGCAGGGTCAATGTTTGTGAACATAACAAAAACTCCTATGCATTGAAGCTGTGGGGGCGGGGGAGCGCGTGGAACTCGTCAAGCTTTGCAAATCTGAGCCGTGTCACCGTGTCACCATAAAGCACTTGCAATGAACCCTGATGCCAATAGCCTGATGCCATCCAAACCAGACGAAAGGAGCGGCTTTGTTTTTCAGGTATTTAAGTTCCTTGGTTTGCAACATTTCTAACCACGGGAAGCTTAAGGGCGTAGGGTGCAGAGACACTTGTCAAGTCGACATCAACATCCCACACCTTTGAATTCAGCAAAAACTATGGCGCCCCGTAGGGTCTCAAGTTGCGGTCCCTGATTCTCCTTCTGGTGGTCAGGGCCTTAAGGGGGTTGCCGGCAAGGATGCCTTACCTCAATGGTGGCGATTTTCGTGACCTTTGGATGAAGTGCCAAGGCGGGTTTGGGACCCAGCAGGGACATCCAGGGTTTAGCGTGTTGAGGGGGTGTTGGAAGCTGGGGTTTTGGTTCCGTGTCGTTACCGTTCAAACTTAAAGCCAAGCGTGGTCTGTGATCGAGTTGTCATCCTCAGCAAAGTAGAAGCAGCACTTACTGCACTTCCCAGGCGCGCTTGGACAAGCCACTTTGACACGGGGAAGTTCGGGGTTGGTCTTGAATACAAGAGTGACGAGATGAGTTCTGGGTCTACTAGACACTCTTCCGCTGCCACCCTGAAAGGAGAATGCAAGACCTGCAGCGGCAAGAGGAATTGCTGGGACCGGGTCCGACGGAGCTCTGACAAGCCCTTGAACTACAGCAACATGTCTTGCTTTTGTTTCTCCACCGCTTGTTGCAGAGTCAAGGAGGCGGACGCTGCATCTGATCCCGACTCCCTCGTATATCCCTAGCCAGAAGAGCCTGGGAGCAGTTTCACTTGGGATGAGGCAACGATTACATCCTGGCTTTGTTCTACCAGTTGGTGAGAGGCTCGCAAGGTTTGTGCCGTTGAGGGTTGGGATCAGGCCAGGTTGGGTGTTCAGAGTTCAGGGCCGGCAAATAAGGGCACGTGTACGTCAGAAGGGCAGTCCAGGCTGAAACCGTTTAGTGCGCATGCAATGTTGCCCCGTTGGCCTTGATTCTGAGAGGGCCACTTGAAGCCACCACAAAGCAACAACAAACCACAACAAAGCAACACGCAGACACAGGCCAATTTTGCCTCGCGCGCTTGGACTTGTGGCAATGCGTTTGTTGCCAACGGTCGAAGAAGCTTATGTGGTTCAGGGTTCACTTCAGCTCTGCTGGTTACGCTTGTTCACTAGCCGGGACCTTTTGCCAGTTATGTCCGTAGATGTTCGTAGGTTGCGGAAGTCGGCGTTGGCTAGGGCCGAGCCTTGTCATACTCCTTTTTGCTTTGGAACCGACTCCCGAGCATCAAAACCATCCGAACCCAGCAATCATCGAAAGACCATGCCTCGCTGGTTGTCGCAGCGCCTGCGGCGACCACGGCACGCAGGCGTGGAGGCCTTGCACGCCAACGGCATTATCCATACTGACCTGAAGCTGGAAAACGCCATGATCAACTGCCAAGGCAGCAACAACTGTCCCCCGGAGTCATGGGAGTTTGGCTCTGCAGCTTCGAGGGAAAGTTTCTGGATCAAGGCTTTAAGAGATGCTGGGGCAGTGTTGAAGTTACGAAGCCTCACGACCCCACCTTGCGAGCAAGGTGCGTCTCTGAACTTGGGCTTGAGCATGTTCCAGAAGTTGCTCCTAGCTGGCTGCGAAAGTAAAGTGAACGCACAGCACAGTGAAACGTGAATAGAGGGGTCGTCATCCTGCGCATCGAGAACTGGAACCGTTCGCACTCACTGGCTAGAATTTCTCAAGAGTAAACCAGAGCCGAAGCCCCTGAATGGCCCTGAATCCTCAAAAACCCAGTAGACCCCACTTGTAGCCCTAACTCACCCCACAAGCTGCTTGCAAGATACTGCCATGACGTGAAGTTTGCTGTGGTACTACGCCACTGTGCTGTTCATGAGTGCAGCTCTACGTTACAAAGGCCCCTCAATTTCTTCAGTAAGTTAAGACTAAGATATTCCTGGAGTTTTGACAGGCGTGTAAGATTCCCCTACAATACGAACACGGATGCCGGCAGCTTGAAGTCTTGAGACCGGCAAATTGGCCTCAGAACCCTCGGCAACCCAGGCTTCGCCTCTGTGATTGACCTGGGCCTTTCATGCGAGCCGAAGGTGAAAGGCTCTTGCAGATGCTGGGCATTTACAATTGAGCCACGCATCGTTTACCTGCAGCACACTACGTTATACAGTACCAAGTTGCGAGAGGGCATATCCTAATCTCAGCCTCCGAAAGAATGCTGACCTTAATCCGAACCTCTACTCAAAGCCTCCACAGCCTTCCCACCGAGAAGCCAGCGGCACGCCCTCCTACGTCGCTCCGGAAGTGTGGAAGGAAGCGAAGGGCGCACTTGCGAGTCCGAAGCGCGATGTTGCCGGGCTTCATTAATTCAGCCTTTGGCATAAGGCGGGCTTAGATTTTGCAATCCTTCCCTCCTTCAGGTTGGGGTTGCTAAATTTCAGTTTAGCCACTCTCCTCGCCCGACGCCTCGAATCCCACAGAGAATGTCGGCGAGTGCCCGTGCCCCAAAATACATCGTGCTATCGAGAAAAATTGCTCCAACTGTTTCTGTTACTTCTTATGTTGCGATTGCCATGTTTTTACTATGACGAGTAGCTCACGACTCCCCTGCAAGCAGCCGGCGTCGCGAGCCAGCGGTTGAAATGCCGGCAAAGAGAACTCCACTCAAACGAAAACTTTTTTCGGAGCTCGAATATGGCAAAAAAACATCCCAGGCAGCGAGTCACGAAAACCCCTGCCGCCTCGAGTATTCAATGCAACAACTTAAACCGCTGCCAATGATTTCCATAAGCAATCTCTTACTTGCAAGGCTTATAAGTAAGTTTTGCAAGCATATGAACCGAACACCGAACTTAGCGCAATGCACAACTTCTTGATAACTTCCAAAGTCTTATTGCCCCGCCGGTCTGCCAAGTATATGCATAAGGGTTTGGAAACCGTTCGGAGAGTTCATAAACATCCGTGGCGGCCTCCGATGGTGCACGATGGTTGCGTGGAACATGGCTAAAGGTTTCATACTTGCTCGCGGACAACTCTGGCGACCTAAGAGGGTGCGCGACGGCTCGGCAGCGTCCGTGAACGTCCGGGGCCCGGACATTTTGGAGACGTCCGGCGCTAGACCGTCCGCACCTGAACGTGAACGAAACCCAATGGGTCAAAAACGGCATCAACAGTCTCAGTCAGCACCCAAGAAAGGCTAGAAAGCTTGCAGTGGCTTCAGGTGTGGTCGCTGGGCGTCATGCTCTACCTTCTGACCTACTCCAGCTATCCGCCCTTCTTGACAGATGCCACTGGCCGGGCCCAGGTCGCTTACCGTCCGCTCCAGGATGGCAATATCCCATCAAAACAGACGACGCTGGATATCCTCATCACACAGATGCTGGACCCTGACCCAGGCCACACAAGATCAGGAGTTCTGCTAGGACCGCTAGGATGCAGATTCTCAGCAGCCCGGATTCCCAAGAAGCGAAGCAGCGTTGGGCTGTTTTGCTTGCATGCCTTCCCGCATTGCAGCCAGAAGTTTGCTGGAGCCCCGTAACTGCCATAATTAGTGTTGATGCATGTGTCGCCTAGCCTCGGTTGTTGAAACCGATGCTCCAGTCAGGGATGCGCGTGGGCATCGATGGCGTGCTTGCCCTCCTGGACATAATCATCAAAGACGATAATCCTGGCTACGATCCTTGTCTTTGATAAATAGGACCGAATGGTGGTGTTGAAGATCGGGAATTTTGCCGAAGTTTTCCCTAAACGTGGCAGCTGCGCATGGTAGACACACGTGGGTGCAATGCGAGTCTCGGTTGTTCGTGAAGCAGCACGATTAGGTGTCAATGAACAGCACATTTTGCTTCAGCGTTTTCAACACGACATGTCGCTGTGGGTTCATGGTTCTGGTTTCGTAAGGTGTGAGGCTGGATTTGGCTGGACGATTTTGAGATGATTGCCTAGAATTAGACGAACTGATGTTTTCCTTGTGGGCGTCGGAATCCTATTGGGCAGGCTTGGGTAGTGACGGACTCCCATCCGCAGGGATACGGCAAACTGCTCCAGCTTGCCAGAAGGAAGGCTTCAGGGGCTTCTGCTTGAAGTTTAGGGTTCTAGTTCACAAGGTCCACAGAAAGTTCATGGCCACACAAGCTTCAGCGTTGTTGCCCGAATGGTGTGTTCGTTGCTTGCGCTTCTATGGTTTCTGTTCGATGGTTTGCTTTTGTTCGCTTCCAGCGCCGCCGCTAGTCCCTTGCTTGAGATGCTTGGCCAACTTGCGGAGCGGCCACCATGCCCCGGGCTGCACGCACCCCCCCCCCCCCCGGCCCAACACAAGTCAATACCTCTCGAGTCGCTATTGTCGGAGATCATAAAAGCACATGCCAATGCTGACTTCCCTCGTGTGTATGCAGCCACTGGTTGTAGCGGGAGCCCAGATTGGCTCAGAGCACGGCTCGTCATGTGAGGTGTACGCACGCTTTGGATACAGTGGGCTTGGCAGCAGCCTGGGACAAGCTTCCTCTCTTGGTCGTTGCATTCCGTACTTTGCTTTCGCAATGAAGGCGTTGGTCGCCAATGGATGACGAGTTTCAAAGGAACGGAGTTGAGCCTGGTAAATCTTTTCGCTGCGACACACCGAGTGCCTTGCCTGCTGTACACTGACTCAGGCAGGTATCGCGCAGGTCTCAGCGGGTGGGGGCGCACCCTTTCGGGTGAGTCTCGTTGGTGCTGCATGGTAGTGGTAGGTGGTGAGCAAGTGCACCAAGAAGTCAATTGCTCAACTGAGGGAACCTACCCGTTGCTAGGTTCGATGGGGCGTGCGCCTCACGCCATGCAGCGTCCTTTTCTAAATGCTAGAACATATCCCTTCAAACAGATCCTCACTGAAAGCCCAGACTTTGCCGGAAGGGGCAGGCCGAATCCTTGGCCAAATGAGTTGTACGAGCGTGGCTCTAACAGCTTACCACTTGGGTTTGGCTTTCAGCTCTTTCCTTGATTTCAGGAGACAGACACGGAGCTGCAACACATGATGGAGATCCTGCCGGTTAAGCGTCACGCCACTTTGGTTTGACAGGATGTGCGCTCATGGCCTTTTCATTCCCTTCTAAAGCACTCAATGATGCTTCAGAAGGTTTGTGGTGTACCCTCTCTGAACTCGCTGTCGCTTCTGCTGATGGTTCTGGTGACGTTTGTCATGCCGGAACTGGTTACAGCGGGTAGTGCAAAAACACAGTATTGAACTGACCAGCACATCAGTTTTGAGTACATCCAGACGGAAACCCCCCCCCCCCCCCCGACCACAGAAAAAGAGCAGTCAGGTCCCTGTCACAGTGGGGGCGTCAGGCACAATTTAATGGTTCGTTCGGCCTTGCGAACTCTTCCTCCTTTTCCTTTAGGCGCGTGGGAAACGACAAACAGTAGGTAGGATACCTCGTGAAGAAATGGACCGAGGCGACTTATCCCGTCCCGCAGTGCCTCTATCGCAGCGTGGACACCCGGCCCAACACGAGCCAGGCACAGCATGGATGTTCGTTACGATGGTTGGAACGGACCAGACCTGGTTACTGGTTGGTATAACATGTTTGTCTTTTCGCACTTATCCGAATCGCTGCGTTCACTATGAAGCCAAAAAGGCATGGCTTCTTGTGGAGGTTGCGACTCCATCTCTGAAGTTTGCCGGGAGGTCTCCAACCTTCTACCTGGAGTCTGCAGTTTACAGGCTTAGATGCAATATGAAGGTTCAGATCTAGGGTTCAGGTCTGGCTCTGGTGAGCCAGCTGCAAAAGGAGTTTGGAGATTCCCATCTTCGACCGCCTTACACTTTCTTCTATGGAGGATTCTGTAGCGCTTCTATCTTCTTGGCTCGTGGTGAGCACCGAGGGCAAGAGAGCGAAAAGAGAGCATGGCTTTAGATGCACATGATACACCGAACACCCATCATGGGTTTGGTGTACCACACACCACAGTTTGTGTAACAAGGATCACACGATCCCATTACTCGCACGAACTTGTGGGTTCGAACCAATCTGCTCGATCCCCTGATCCCCAAACCTTTCCGAACGCTGGACGCAGGCTTCAAGGATGTTGCTGTGTTTGATCGCGGTTTTGCGCGACACGGGCAGGGCGGACCGCTTTCAAAGTACCAAGCGGGCCATAGAGACGAATAGCGACCAGCAGCAGAACTCAGGACTACGATGTCGGAAACCGGACGTTTGAGAGGGAGTTCTGCACGGACGAAGTCACAAAGGCTGGTTTGTCGGATTTGGTCACTGAGTTGTTAGCAATAAGCACAGGCTGTTGGTATATAGATCTTTTGAACCGATGTCGGGTTTGGGCTCAGCTGGTGCACGGCCGCTCACTGCATGGTTTTTGTTTTGAATTCTGGGCTTTGGCCTGCCCACCATCCAACTGAAGCCCAAAACAATACATGACGCAATCTTATATAACGCAATCTGTTTTGGGGTCGATTCGAAATCAGGTCGCCCTAGATAAACATGGAGTTTCCCCACACAGTGTGTCAACACGAAAGGGGTTTCGAACGTAACGAGTAAGAGGGGCTAGATCGGCGCGAGCCCGCGGCGTGCCCCCTGCAGACCATGCATAGTTTTTATGCATAACTGTCGCCCGCTTTTGGGCTGCTGGCTCACATGGTCTCTCATTTGAAGTCTACGCTGGCATAATGCACTGAACCGACCAAAGGCATCCAACCGAATCTATAGATCCAACCTGCTCTACAGATGGGGTGGCCTCGCCATTTTCAATCCTAGTTCTCGTTTTCAAGGCATAGTGCCAACACTAAGCTGTAAAAATCCTTCTCGTCAAATGGGCATGTTGAACCTGGACGAATTAGACTCTCAAGACTTGGGGGAGCTGAAATGAAAGTGCAGTACTATGTTGTCTGAGCCATTTTTTACAGATTGCCGAGGCCTTTTGACAAAGGCCTGACGGAAGCAACAGTTTTTGTTGTGAACTTTACTAGGAATACTCTTAGTTTCAAGAAGGTTTGTACTTTGAGGCACCGTTGCTGATAGGGCTTTGTCTGCTTAGTCTTGTTCATGTGCACTGGTGCTGTCGTGGAGCGATGGTGCAGTCGCATTCCCGTCTCAGGCAGTAGCATAGCGCAGGTTCAACAAAGGCACCAAACCCTGACGCCCAATCAACCCCTTAACCCCGAAACTCAACGCATACCCAGGCCCAAGGGTTCTTCCGCTGCGGCGTCTGCTTGGGCTGCAATGACTGCTGCGGCTGGGGCAAAGTCAGGTTTAAGTTTCTGTAGGCACTATGTAGCAGTCTGCGTGTTCGTTGGGTTCCGGATGTTCATGGCTTCCACGCATGCTCCATATTTAAGCAGGCTCTGAATTCCCATTTTAATTCATTGTTAAGCAGGATCAGAATTTAGCCGTGTGGATAGTTCAAAACTCTCTTGGTATGCTGAATCGTGAAACCAGGGATGAGCGTTGCCTGGTTGGAGCTGGGGGATGTTTGCTGCATGCGTCAATCGTGGGGGGGCCTAACGTAGCCAGCCTCGGACTCGAGTCAGGATTTGTAGACAGATGTGTGAAACTTAGGCTGGCCTTTTTTGGATGGCTAGGTTGCGTTGCTGTTCTGCCTTAGCAGAAAGCTGCTTGCGTTGGCTGTTGGTTTGAGACTTGCAGCCTTGTCGCCCTTCGAAATCAGCAAGAGACGGTTTCAGTGTTTTTGCCTCGTTTGTTTCTGTGCTGCCTGAGATGTGAGCCTGCAAGGCAAGTGCCGGGTGCTTCGATATGGCCAGAAGGTCAAGGAGTACTTCCGCATGCAGCAGTGCATGTGAGGATCAAAAAGTGGCTACGACGTCAGCCTTGCGCGCCACTCGAGGTGTATTGTTGGCAATTTCTTAGGACGTGCGTATTCGGGAGCGGGTCGCCCCAGCCTCCCGGATCCCCGTATCCCCTAAAACCAGATTCCCCTTCGGTTTCACGTCGAGGTTGAGATTTAGTAGCCATGCACATGTATATACATACATACTGCCGGGGAGCATTCGTGCCCGGCCTGACACTTTGCTATGTTGTTTCTCTCACCCCAGCTAAGAAGGCTAACTTGGTGGCGTCAGCCTAGTTCCAAGGCTTCTGTCTTGTCTTAACAGATACTCCGCATATTGTGTATTGAATGACCTCACCTGTTTAGTTACCATGTATACTATTCTTCCGGCCACACTTACCACTCTTAACCTTGCCAAGCACAACATACTCGGACTATTAACGCACTTGCTTCACATACTTATCTTGAAAAAGCCTGCTTTCTAGTTGGGAAGCACCACGCCCTGTCAAATAAAGCTTGAGTATACGAAGCCCCTGCGCGAAGTACGGATCCCAAAGGTCATGCGCAGGCGGAGCCTGCAAACATATGACCGATCTCAGTGGGGGTATAAAGTCAGCAGGGGTGCCTCGAGTGACAAAATGACAGCGGCCTTCGAGTCGTCCGGCACCTCTCTCTGACTCACTGCTCTGCAGCAGGCCTTAAACACTCCCTGAACCCTGCAAAAACAAAGCTTGCCTTTCTGTTTGGCACTGGTGCTTG